TCTGTAGAAATTCTTCAACCAGGTCTCCACTCCACTTCTCAAAAATCTGGAGTTCAACTACCCACACGGACTTGTGTCTGACGTCACTCATAACACTTTCCAGAACTATTTTGGAGGCTCCGAGATTGTGGTGGCTGGAAAAGTTGACACAGCGAATGCACAGCATTTGCAGAGTGTGATAACAGCCACAGCCGTGAGTACCATGTTTGTAATGGGGTAATTTTGGTTATTCCTCTTAATTTGCAGAGTACGAGGTAGAAAACAACATAGAAATGCAGAGAAATCACTTTAGTCCTTGTCCCCTGTCTGTCCCCTTTGGTTTCTTTTCCACACAAACAAGCACTTAGCTATGATAAAAGTACCTTAGAAACATTTAAAGAAAAAAAGAGATTACTTACAGTTACCATTTCGCAGTTACAGTCAGAAGAATTTTTTAAATATATATAATTTAGAAGAATTTTAAAAGGGGGAAATGGAGTCTTTGCCACTTGGAAGAGACCTTCCATGTTTGTTGCCTAGTTGGAGGGCAGAGAAGGAAGAAGGACTAAAAACAGAAAAGGGAGCTTTGCCTCAAATGCCAGAAGCAGGAAAAGAACGTTACCAGTCAAGTTAGTGGCAAAGGACCATCAGATTAGATTGTAAAGCCCCCTCACACTGATTCCCAAGGTTAGTGCATGCCAGATTGTTATCATCCCAACAGGTTGTCCGTGCTGTCCTTTCCTAAGCAGGGACAGGTATGCAGTGCTGCAGAGCTTGGGAGCAACTGGTTGCAAATAACGGCAACTAGTAACTAGTAACTAATTCCCTTGTTCGGAAAAAAAAATGCCGTGAACATTTCTTCTTAACAGCTCTTCCTCCTTCCCTGAAGATCTACTAGAGCAGTCCTTCCAAACCTGAATCCCTGCAGGTGCTGTTCACTGCATCTCGCAGCAGCCCCAAACTTGCACAATCAGGACTTATGGATGATGGGAGCTGTAGTCTGCAACACTGAGAAGACCCCCTTTTAATTGGCCGGCTGGTTCATTTTCTCATACTGCGGTATTTTTTCTCTTCACCCCCTTAGTCCAACGCTGAACTGGTCTTAGAGACCTTGGCCGATGTGGAGGGTCTGGATGAGTTCCTGAAAAAAGACAAGCACGCAGATCCAAAATTCACGGAAAAATTGTGGGCGTACATTACCATCAACCAGCTCATGGCTGAGAGGTAAAGAAGGGTGGCTTCCACGTAATTTCTAGAGGGGGGTGGGAAGGAAAGGAGGGGGAAAGAGAGGGAAGGAAATGGGAGAAACCCTTTGAAAAGGTCTTCATGGTGGTAAGGCTGGCTGGTGCACCCCTAAAGCTGATAATTCTCTATATGTGCTACATGCAGGCTGGAGATGTTACTGTGCTGAGTACAGATCCATGTAGAAGGTTTCTCCTAGTACTGAACTGCAATGAATGAATGATTGATTGATTGAATGAATGAATGAATGAATGAATGAATGAATGAATGAATGAATGAATGAATGAATGAATGAATGAATGAATGAATGAATCTTACAGGTTCAAAACCCAGGAATCTCTGTGGGGCTTCAAGTATAACGTCGTCCATGGCCTTGCCCAAGTTTCCCTCTTCCCCCTGAGTTTATGCAATGGCCCTCTTTGCTGTCTTCATTTTCCCCTGATCTTTGTGCCGTAGAGGAGGGGGTGAGGAACACGACCGGTACATGTGGGGGGAAATTTTCAGACCAGGGCTCGTACACCCCAAAATGGCAGAAAAATTGAATTAAAAGTTGGATCAAGAGTTTAACCGCCTCCAGTTTTAAAATCAACAGGTCTCTGACTCTTTTTTCCAGAACAAGGGGAGCTGGGGAACAAGATGAGGGGCGCAGGTGGCTCCAGGTGACACTTTGAAAAAGTTCTTAACTGTTAAAGCACTATGACAATGGTGTGTGGGTGTGTTAAACAAGCATGACTCTTTTTTTCCTGAACAAGGGGAGCTGGGGAACAGCTCAGAACGTTCAGAGTTAACTCCACCTTGGAATGTGGACAGGGCGAAAGAGTCATGGAGGCTCGAAGCCATGTTAGGTCTCAGAGGCCACCCAGCATTGTCAGGACAAATGTGTATTTTCCTAACAATGGCTTAAAAGGTGAAATTTAGTCAAATTGCCATCATCGTCACCATCATTGTTAACATCTCTGTCCGATCTGCTCTGATTTGGATTCTTGCCTTGAGCAGGGGACTCGATGGCCTTAGAGATCTTTCCGACTCCATGATTCTATGATTCGCCCCAGCCGTATCGTTTGCTGTCCTGTTCAGAATTAACTCCACCTTGGAATTTGGACAGGGCGAAAGAGACACTTGAGGCTCGAAGCCATGTCAGGTCTCAGAGGCCACCCAGCATTGTCAGGACAAATGCATATTTTCCTAACAATGGCTTAAAAGGTGAAATTTAGTCAAATTGCCATCATCGTCACCATCATTGTTAACATCACACAACTTGAATCGCACAACTTGAATTCCTTAGCACAGCTTGTCTTTCAGTATGAGGCGCAGAATATTTGAAACCTAAACGTTGGCTGCCTTGGGAATCTTTGTTTTTCTGGGGGCACCTTGAGATCTACCAGCTCCAATCCGAGTGCAGAAAACACGGTCCAGAATCCCATAGTCGCATTGTATGTGCAGGATGTTCTGTTGTGTGACCCAATGGGATTTCATTCCCCTCTCTTTCCAAGAAATAATGGCCATTTCTGCAAGAACTCGTGTGTGTGTGTGTGTGTGTGTGTGTGTGTGTGTGTGTGTGTGTCTGTGTGTTTACGTGCGCATCACTTACATTTCTGACATTTTTTTTTCTGGACAGGAACTTGGCCCCAACTGCTGCCCTAAAAAAAAACATCACCAAGACCATCCTACAGATGTCCCTGGACCACCACATCATCACGCCCTACACGGCCATGCTGATTGAGAGCCCCAACGGAGAAGAGCTGATGTTGGCCGATTCTCCCCAGGACCGCAAGAGGGCCTGCTGCCCAGGTGGGTCCCCCCCCATCGAGGGGGCCCCTGAAATCCGCAGGGGCTCACTTGGGTCCCGTGGCCAAACCAGAAAGCAGGTCTGTCCCTGAAACACGATGACGGTGTAAGACCAGCTCAGCCCCTCTCTGCTTGCGGCTCCTTGAGCCTGCTGTCCGGGCGCTCCTCCCCATGGACGGACAACTTTAAGGTCCCCGATTCCTCTCCTCAACAATTCCTGATCTTTAAATCAGACTTTCAATGGACATCTTTGGAAAGAAGAGGGTTCCCAGTCAGCCCTTCAAGTGGAGGATGGTTCTCCCTCATCGCCAGTGGCCACTCCAGCCCCGTTTGGCCTTGAGGTTCTTACCCACAGAGAACACGATGTCCTCCGTGGTTGTGTTCACTGTTCCCTTCCTTGTCTCCCTACGCAGGGGCTTTGACGATTGGCCAGGCAAAACCCGACAGCTCCATCCCTTCGTGGGCCAATCCCACCTCCAAGGTGCCATTGTCTCTTCTCATGGGCCCAACGGCGGCTGCCGTCCACCAGGGTAAGAAAAATATGGAGCTCCTTGAGCTTGCCTTCCAGTTGAACAGAACGGAAACCAACATTCCCAGGGCAGAGAACGTTTTAATTGTTATCGATAGCACTTTGTCCCATCACTGCAGTACCACTAGAAGTAGTAACAACAGCAGCAGTCTCTGGTATTATTATTCTTAGTTGCAACAATAATAGTGGCAGGGAGGTATGGATTTTTTTTAACTTAAAGCAAGGTTAAGTTGGTTTATGCCTTCTGTTTGCTTTTATTGGAATGTCACAGCTATCTGCCCTGAAAACCATTTATTTATTTATTTGCAAAAGTTGCAAAAGTTTTTATTTATTTGCAAAAGTTTATTAGTTAAAAATACATCTTTAACTAATAAAGAAGAACACCGATTGAAGAAGGCGGCAATCCAATGGGCAATGTGCGTCTACTTGAGAGTGGTCGGGCTTACTTATAAGTAGGAACAGGCTGCCAGGATTGGCCCAGAATACTTGGGTAGCCCATCGAGAAGGGCACGCATCACTGGGAATGGCTCTGCAAGTCGGTCCCGATCCCTGCTTTTGGGCGGGTTGGGATGGAGGGATTCCCCAGCAGAAGAGAGGGTCATTTGGAGGTAGACTGCTCCTGCTGCAGCAACTCTATGCCGTTTTCATATATTACTGAAAGACTAATTGCGTGTTCTTCCCATGTTTGCATTCCTTCCCCCTCCCTTTCTCTGATACCTCCTTTGTGATGTTTTCTTGAATGTAAGCCCTTTGGGGCAGGGAGCTTTGCGCTATCAAGGACCTGGATTGGGTCTTTGTCTCCCTCCTTTTGCTCTCCCACTAAGCATTGGGGAGTCAAGAAGGTTTGAGGGGTGACTAGCGGTGTAGGGGGAGCCTGGGCTCGGAGGGCCCACACTTTCTGAAAAGCAGGGAGGATGATATTATTTGCCACCCCCTTAAGCGTCCGCGTTTCCCCTGGCCTTCTCTGCTGTCTTCACAGGAACTGGGCTGGAAATGGGTTGCAAGCGACTTTCAGGGTGTTTTAGTCTTGAGTGGGCAATCAGGAGCCATTAGCTTCACAAAAGGCCAGCCTCTATCTTGTTGACACCCAGTGATCCAGCTCCTGGCCTTTTTTGGATGCTCCTTAGGCAGGGGTGGCTGGCTCCTGCACGTGATGAGTTCCCAAAGGTGAAAATTGACTGCTATATCATGGTGGGCACTGTCAGCAGAAATTAAAACATGAGTTGGCGAAAATGGTCAAAAATGCAACTAGGTGAAAAACTCTAATAAAGTCATGTAAGGAGGACTAGAAGTTCTTGGCAGACACAGAGTGTTGACTCAAACACAAAAAGGTGCTTGTGTGTGCATGCATATGCACATGGGCCTCTTTGTGTGTGTGTGTGCGTGTGTGTGTGTGTGTGTGTGTGTGAGAGAGAGAGAGAGAGAGAGAGAGAGAGAGAGACAGAGAGAGACGCAATGCAAGGCTATCAAAGAGAACTTTGTTGCTGGGTGAAATCATAAAAAGAAGCAGTGTTCTTAGAAGGCAAGGATCCTTATTAACAATACCGTGATGATGGGGCCAATGAGCCCTCTGTGTTCAGTTATTTCAGCTTCCATTAAGGGGGGGTCTTGCATGTCGAAGATAGGCTTTGCCGCAATGCAGGTATTATGTGGGTTTTAATCCCACTTGTTGAAAAATGTATGCAGCTGAGAATGGACATGGGACGTGGTGGTGCTGCGGGTTAAACTGCAGAAGCCTCTGTGCTGCAAGGTCGGAAGACCCGCCGTGGTAAGATCATGACAGAGTGAGTTCCCGTCGCTCATCCCAGCTCCTGCCAATCTAGCCATTTGAAAGCATGTAAAAATGCGAGTCGATAAATAGGGACCACCTCGGTGGGAAGGTCACAGCGTTCTGTGTCTAGTCGCAGTGGCCATGTGACCATGGAAACGGTATTCAGACAAATGCTGGCTCTATGGCTTGGAGACGGGGATGAGCACCGCGCCCGAGAGTCGGACACGACTGGACTAAATGTCAAGGGGAACCTTTACCTTTACTTAAGAATAGACATAAAACCAGGGAGCCTTGATCAGCCTCCTGGACTCACGGTGGGCTGCACTGGTCCCTGAACTGAAAAAGAAACAACCCAATTAAAACAGCACTCATTATAATCTGCGCTTTTCAACATCTGCAGGGGGCGGGGGCCTTTGGACCTCTGTATCCATGCATAGCCCTGCAGATACAGAGCTCCTTCTGTCCGTCGGCCTAAGAAGGTTGCATTCAGCCCAGCCCCCTCTCAACTGATGGGCACTGGCTTGTCCAAGTCTCTGGGAGAGGTTTATCCAGACCTAGCTGGAGATGCCGGGAGACCAACTTAGGATCTTCTGAATGTAAAGCATGTGCTGTGCCTGCCGAGGGACAGTCCCTCCCCCAAACGTCCAGAACACTGCAAGAGTTATGGCATGACATTTTTTTGAACTGTAGCATTTAAAATACTACTGGTAAAGGAATAAAGTGTACACAGGAAATTGAACTTCCTCTACCTGATGATACCATCTCCATAATCCCCAGCGAATGATGGAAGATGGAGTCCAATTTGTGTGGAGGGTGCCTAGTTATGAAAGGAGTATGGAAACAAAGGGCTGGATAAACTTCAAAATGAAAATTACATCATCCAAAGAAAACGAAGCAGAATAGGACCCCTGCGTCCACGGGATCAGTGTCTGTGGTCTCATTCACCAGCAGTCTGAAAATATTAAAAGAAATACATATTTTCATGATGTATTTACCAGACCTGTTCACTAGAGGGAGCAAGAGGCCACGCTGTGTCTTCGTGTTGTTGAAGCATACATAGTCTATGCCTCTCTCTAGTGGACAGTTCTGGTAATACATGGTGAAAATATTTTTTCTGTTTTTTTTTCCTTTTACCATGCTATGTACGGTGTTCACTGTTACCCACTGTTTTCAGCATCTGTAGTCGAGGGCTTGGAACCAACCCCCTAGAAATACGGGTCCTAGTGTACCACAAACCCTCTGCAGATAATGCACTCATTACCAAGTACATTTCTGTTCTTCGTTTATCTGAACAGGATCCTTAGTAATTGACCAGGCACTGACTGACAATCCCATCCCATCGTGGGTGAAGCCCACGAAGAAACCAGGGGGCCCGTTAGCTGTTGTCATGGGTCCAACTATTTCTGCCATACATGCAGGTAATCCATGTTGGACTCATTTACCTTTTGACTGCATTTCTTGAGCGTGACAACTTTATGAGGTTTTGGAACAAGATTGTGGGGGGAAAGAGCTTCCTTTATCCAGGTCCTTCTTGGGCCCCAATCCCAAAGCCTTATGTTCTAGGAGGAAAAACTAGGAAAAGCCATCCGTCCCACTTTCTCCTAGGTTTGATTTTTGATTCTTTAAAATGTTATAATAATAATCTAATAATTTGTTATATTAATGATATAACAAATAGAAAAGACAGGAAAGAAAAATAATTAAGCACAGAAACATAAACTCAAATTCAAATCAAAACTCATAACACATCCTATAGTGTTTGCCATCATTTCTGGGATATTTTCCCCCCTTTCAATTTACATGCCTTGGTTTGTCTTCAAAAATATAATTATTCTTGTTCTGACCTTCCCCTTTCTAAAATACATTTACTTTAAAAAAATTCTATGTATCCTTAAAATAATTTGCTTTAAGTATTCGTTGTCTAAGTTTCAATTCACAAATTAAGTTATTGTTGATCGCCATGTTCCACATTCCTTTATTCCCCACCCCTCCAAATCATGTTTTTTCCCCAACCCACATCCACACTAAAACAGTTTAATATATAGGGCACCCAAAGTTTTAAAAGCCTGGGGCTGGGTGAATGAATGATGAAGTTTTGGATTCTGTTATCATCAACTTTTTAGAACTCTAGTTTTTCCTATTTTGGATGAGAAGGAACATACAAATGAAGATAGGAAATAAAATTCTTTCTCATTCTTAACCATTCTTTGGAGGAAGCTCAAAACACAGCAGACAAATATAGGAGGGGCCAGTTTTCTAAATGAAGGTCTGCGCATTCAGAATCCTGCCCTTCCGGACAACCCCACTCTAAAAATTGGATTCAGAAAAATTGTGAAGGAGAATATACTCATGAACCAAGATGAAAGCAACTGATCTGCGGGCATCATCTCTGCTGGACTCCAGCAGAGTCAGTATTTCTGGTTTTTGATGCAACGCTCAGAGCAACACAGCAGAAATCCTCTTTCAGTTGTTAAGATGGAGCCAGAATTAGGGTGTGTATCTGATCAAACTGGAAAGGATTGCTTTTCTGGTAGTATTCTCCCTTAAAGCAACCCTTCTGTCCATGGGAGAAACTCTCCAACTTGGCCCCTAAAAGTAGTGGCTTTACTGATGGACCAAGAAAGCAGAAATCAGAGTGGGCTGGAGTGCAATTTCCTATATATCATGGGATTTCTGGGAAATACTATGCATTTAACTACTGTACCCTCATGGCACTGTGGTTAAACTGCAGGACCACAGTGAGGACTCTGCTCATAACCTCCGTTTGATCCCAGGCTAACAGTTGACTCAGCCTCCCATCTTTCTGAGGTCAGTAAATCGAGTCCCCAGCTCAAGAACAAAAAAGGAGCAAATATTAAAAATAAATCTAATAATACAGAAATAGAAACATTAAAACAATGACAGATACTGTTGAGAATTATGTAATATGATAATACAGAGATATGCACTATATTTTACTTCTTATACAGCATGGAGCTGCTGGGTAGCTCCATGGTTAAGGGGTCCCAGAGGTTGGGAATTCGAATCCCCGCTGGGCTTCTTTGACAGGGGCTGCACTTGATGTTTCATGGGCTCCCTTCCAGCTCTGTAGTTCTAAGATTATTATTATTTTTTGCTGTGTCGTTAAAAAAACATGATATTGACAAAAGTTACCATTAATGTCTGGCAGTATTTCACGGCCTGTTGATACAGTCAACATAATCTACATAAAAAAAAATACAGACCCAATT